CATTATACAGTTTGTGCGCAAAAGCGAATTTAAATAGCCAATTTGAGAAAACGAAGTTAAAGAAGTAACGAAGATATAGATATAAAATTAAAACTAAATTCTCCATCTCATTGCCGATGTCATTTGCAGGGCAATCAGAAGTGGCCAGAGGCATTGAAGAACCTGGCAATAAATATTAACAAAGTATCCTACCACCACCACCAACTACTACGAGCTTGTATTCTCTTAAAAATTGGGCCTTAGACATTTTTTAAATTATATGCACAATAAAAAAAGGTGAGATTTGATTTAAGATATATATATATATCTAGCTTTTATAGTTGAGGAGGTAGTGAAGGGGAAAAGGATAAAGAATGTGAGCTAGAGAAGGTGATATAGGTATTGGAATATAGTTTTGCACAACAACGGTCAGTCCTTAGGTAAAGTTTGGGGGCATTCAATTAGTCGATAAGACTGTAGAAGGAAAGCAAAGGTTAAGCATAATCGGGTTGAATTTATAGAATTAATAGTTTAAAAATATAATGCTATGGTGTATCGTAACGCAATTTTTGTTATATCAGATATATGATTCTAAAACCTCCAATAAATCAACGACTGGAGAATCAATTATTTGTTAATACTATTTTTGTATAAAATATCTCACCCTTAATCACCGAATTTGTCTAGCGGTAACGAAATTCATTACTCGAATAATTTTCTCTCTTAGATTATAGTTACACTGCTGCTTGATTTACTGGAGTAAATACCTTAGTAAAACATTTATATTTAAACAAAGACTAGCCTCGAAGAATTTGATTCAGAATAGTTCATTAATTTGCAAAACGTTTTATTGTGTAAGCATAATTTTGCATGAAAAATCTATATATCAAACATTATAAGTCATAAAAAAATATATATGATATTTTTTGGTTGCGACGGATCGCTCATAGTCTGCACTTATTTAAAAAAAACATGCTTGTACGTACGTATGTACTTGGAGTACGATGAAAAACGTAGTAAATTGATGCAATTTATTATACGTACGTACGTACGTACAGTACTACGTATCGTTAAAAAACTTAGCAAAATTTTTTGAATACGTAGCACTAAAGTACATCTGACAGTGCTCATTATTACATTTTTAAAAAATTAAATTTTTTTTCTTTTAAACAGTTTTGCAATATTTTTATTAATTTGTTAAGTTTGATATTATCTAGCTGTTTGTAAATATTCAAATATAACCTATATACTACAGTTATTTACGTACGCATGTATTCTTATGAATATGAATATATATATAAAAAAATTGGAATATGCACGGTAGACGAACATTGCATATTATATAGTGTAATATTCGTGTTTATATGGCCGAGGGGTTTAGTACCGGTCTAACATTTTTCAGATGCGATTTTATATAACCAGTCAGGGATTAATCACGATTTTGGGCTGAAGTTTTTTGCCATTTAGTTACGACTGATATTCAAAATCAATAAATATGACAGATAAAATGAGGGATAGTATAAAAGGTGCATTTTTAGCATTTTTTTAGGGTTAGGATTAGGGCTTAGTAGTAGGTTTTATAATAAACAAGTATAGGTGGGTTTTAGGGGGTCAAATAGAAACCCATAATTTTATTTTAATCTAATTTTATTATAATCTGCGATAATAAATAATTAGGATCAACTCTTTGTAGCAAAATAAATAAAATCTAAAAATTTTTTTAAATTTAATTAAGTTTTTATACTTTTTTTTTTTTTTTTTTTTTATTTTAATTATTTTTTTTAAAAAATTGTTTTTTGTGCACTCTATATTATGTATAT